GGATCATCAAGGCTTTTGTCGAATGTTTTCCACCTCAGTGGGCCACGATCGCTACGCCTTTTCTGACTATCTGGCGACTGCAGTACATCTATATTGTTCCCGTCATCCAGATTATTCAAATTCACGTCCGGCTGCAAAAAATTAGGATTATCACTAGAAAAACAACTTTTAGCACGGATTTTTTCGAAAATGGTGAAAAGCACGCATTTTTTCAAAAATTCTGGAAAAAATCTAATTAAGGGCATTAAAAATGAGCGTGTGTGGGAGCACAGTGATAAAAGAAATCCGCCAGTGGTAAGGCTATTCCTAATCTGAACTAGTAGTTCTCTTTAAGCACATCAATTTCTCTGCTTCCGATGGAATCTTAAAATAAGGAGATTGACTGTTGTTTGGCATTTGATGAAAAATAAATTGTATGCCTAAAGCAGATTGCTTAACACTATTCCTGGATGACCGGCAGCTTTGAAAGCTGGTAGTTATTAGTGTCACTTTCAAGAATTTCCGCTTTGAAGGATGTAGCTTTTTTGTTATCCTAAACATGTTTTCAGTTTGTAAACATCCCCTTCACCTCACGAGTATCGTCTCGACTGGCGTATTCTGTGCCAAAGTCATTAACGTTTTTTGTTAACAAAGACAGTAGAGACTTTCAGGGCAAGCCTGCTCTATTTCACTGTCAGTGCTGTTAGAACGCTTCATAAAAACTGCTCATTCGAAAAATATGCTGTCGCTGATTTCCGAAATTCATGAAATTTTGCTCGGTTAAATGAAGCATTACCGCATTACCTGGTTCACAGCAACTAGAGCAGCCACACTCGTATCACGGCCATTTTTGATCGCATATTTTTGTATCCTGAGTATACCGTTCTTTTTTGGCGATCGCCCTGATGCGCTGCCATTGCGCAGCACAGTTGTTCGACTACCACGTCTCAAATCTACCGTACTGGTATGCTGCAGTTTATATCTACCGTAACATGTTTTTAGCACATTTCTCACCTGAAACGCATGCAAAATTTTAGCTAAAATACTTGAGAAACTGTGGAAATGTTAACGAAGGAATTGAAAATCACAGACACTCATGTTTGGCTTACTTGTTATCGTCTCCTACGATAGATTGCCGTGCACTTACTTGCACTTACTTTACCGCAACCCGTTCCAGAATTCATCGAATCACCCTAATCGTACAATAACTTACCGCATTCTACGCTTGTTTGACATTGTTTTACTGTCACTTGGTTTTTTTGCAGAAAACAAAAACTCACTTCCTTGTTTGTGAAGCAGTAAATGATAGCAATCATAAACCCTTGATACATATAAGTGAATGAAGCGCAATAAGTCCAAATTGCAAAATACTAAATATTTAACCATTATCATTCTTTAGCAGAACAGCTGCAACCGCAAACGAAGAAAAAAATTATGTGCTTCGCTTTCAAATGACGCGGGAAAATTCGCGCTTAACTTTTTATGTGCTGCACAATCATTAATAAGCCACTGCTGAGGTGAGCTAATCAGCAAAATCCCTATGTCAAGTTATATGGAGACTGTGAGCCCAAAATAAAGTTCAGTAGAAAGTTTCGTATCACATTGGTGGTGAGAAGGAGGGTGACCGTGAAATTAATTTAGTGTAAATGTTTCCGGCAGCTGAATTCCGGGATATTTAAGCCGTCGATCTGGAAATTTGAGATGTGCTCGTAGCCAACATTAGTTATATCAGCTTTATTTCTCCTTAATACATATCTTCGTTTTACATTTAACTCCCTCTCCTCCCCCATCTTTTACAGTACGGACAAATTACTGGTATGAAAATCTTTTTTTTTCTGAACTGTTCAAAATTTGCTAACACACGTTCTTCCTTCACTAGGATTTCAGAACAACTATCCACTTTTTTAAAAGGAAGCCTTC